TTTACCTCCTCAATTCAAGAAAAAATACACTTATTTTAAGAAAGATTGACTTATTAAGATTTAGATTTTTTGCAGTGTAGTAACTGTTGGTTTTCCTTGTTGCAGAAAGCTAAAGATGAATGTCCCCTGTTCAGAAGAAGTAACACTTTATGTTTATTTTTTCAAGTAGACAACTTTTGCTGAACCCTGAATCCATCGCGGATGTTTATTTTTCTCTTGTTAGCTTAATATTAGTTTCTCCGTTTAAAGCTTCAGTGTTTGCAGCTTTACTTACGTCGGTTTGACCCGTTGGGCCTCTTTCTCTGCAGGTCATCATCCTGAACCACCCCGGCCAGATCGCCCAGGGTTACGCCCCCGTCCTGGACTGCCACACCGCTCACATCGCCTGCAAGTTCAGCGAGCTCAAGGAGAAGATCGACCGGCGTTCCGGCAAGAAGCTGGAGGACAACCCTAAGGCTCTGAAGTCCGGGGATGCCGCCATCATCACCATGGTGCCCGGGAAACCCATGTGTGTTGAGAGCTTCTCCCAGTATCCCCCACTGGGTGAGTTAAACCCCCTTCTACTCGTCAGACTTCTGTGATAATCAGGGATGTCATCAGCAAACTTCTGATGGTTAAACCCTTTGACCGTCTGCTCGCAGGTCGCTTTGCCGTCCGCGACATGAGGCAGACGGTGGCGGTCGGCGTCATCAAGAGCGTGGAGAAGAAGGCCCCCTCCGGCGGGAAGGTCACCAAGTCCGCACAGAAGGCTGAAAAGAAGAAATGAACCTTCATGCGAGACGTCCAGCAGAAAGCGGTGCCTCAGCAGCCGCCGGGTTCCCGTTCTCCTCCTCACCCCCCCCACCCGACGCCGTCTTCTCTGAGGCATGGATCTCTACTCAAGGACTGGTTTATGCTCATTAAAGCCCATCGCAAAAGTTTCCGCAGGAAAGGAGGCTTCTCCACCTACATGGAGAAGCTCCGGTGTTAGCTAAGATGAATAAAAATCACAAAGAATCAACATTTCTCCACGTTTTTTTTCCTTCTTCTTATAAATCTATTAGTTTACCGGTAGTGCTTTTATCTTTAAGATATTTCTCTTTTATACCTGTTTGAGTGCAAAAAAATCACCTGATATATCTAATTTATGTGGATTTACCCTCATTTGAGCTGTTAAATAAGATGATGTGCTAATAAAAATATTATTATTTCTCTTAAAATAAGATAATTAGACATTATGCACTTGGAATACGATAATGAGGTCATTTCTCACTTTAGACATAAATAATATTGCTCCATTTGCAAATTATCTTACCAGATCGAATCACGGTAAAATACACACATTTTTGATCAAATAAGATTGACATTGTGTGAAAAAAAAGTTTTCAACTGTTTAGTCCAGTTAAATAAAGGAGATCGATGGATTTCGAAGTTCTAACCTTAGACAGAGTTGTTCCCTTGCTTTTAAGGCAGAGTCAAAACAATGTTAAACAGTTACCTTGAAAAAGTATGTGGTTTTGTTATGGGAAAAAGGTATGTTTTGTCTATAACCATCTTCCACTCAGACATTTTGTGGCCTTGCAAGTGAGACAAACTAGCTGAGAAAAAAACATTTTTAGAGAATATATAGCATACTTCAAATACTGAGAAGGATAGAACAAAAATAAAATTTTCCGACCACAACATAAATTACATTTTTTGCAGCATTGAATCGACTAATTACGGAAGAGGATTAGGGCCACTGGAAAAAAATAAAAGTTAACTGAATTTTTTTTTATTTTATTTCAGTATAGTATGAGAAAAAAGTCAGAATTCTGACTTTAAT